TCCTGCTTCCAGAAAGAGGAAGTCCAGAGTCAGGGCTGGTGCGTAGATCTGCAGTCAGAGAACAGCCCCTCCTGACCCTCGGCCTGGCCCACAGTGTCTGGGAGATCGTGGGGCAGGCGGACGGTGGGCTGTCGGTGCTGCGGACCTTCCGGCTGCTGCGGGTGCTGAAGCTGGTACGCTTCATGCCGGCGCTGAGGCGGCAGCTGGTGGTGCTCATGAAGACCATGGACAACGTGGCCACCTTCTGCATGCTGCTCATGCTCTTCATCTTCATCTTCAGGTGGGCCTCCCAGAGAAGGACCCCTCCCCACTGTGCTGTGCTGGCCCTGTACTTCTGGCCTTGGGGCCCTGGGGTAGGGGTGTGAGCAGGCTCCTCCATCCAGTCAGAACTGATGAGGTGACTTCTGTGTGCAGGCATGAGACATGCAGGGCCCCAGACTCTGGCTCTGCTCTCGTGGGTTCACAGCTGAGTAAAGGAATGGGATGGACCCCCCAAAAATAGATCGGGTTACTGTGCCCAAAGAAGAGCAGAGAACGAGGGGATGGGAGAAGGGATGGGGGCAGCTGAGCTGGAGTTCATCATTTGCTGAGCACCTGCCATGCCAGCCTGGCTGGGGCTCAGGCCTCGGAGAAGGGCTGGGGTGGAGAGCAGCACAGATGGGCTGAGTAACATGGGCGCTCTAGGTCCTGGCTGCTGCCTAGAGCAGAGTAGCCTCTGGTTGTCCCTCCTTTCCCTGGCCTTAGTCTTCCCATCGTGGACACTGGCACTGGGAGGCTCCTGTAAACCAGAAAGCTGGAAGCCAAGCAGGAGTAGGCACAGTAGAGGAGTAGCTATTGGGTGGGAAGGTGACCAGGCAGAGCGGCTCCCCTGCCTCCCTCTCCTGTACCTCCTCCCCTCCCCACTTACCTCACCCCTGCCTCCCGCCCTCAGCATCCTGGGTATGCACCTCTTTGGCTGCAAGTTCAGTCTGAAGACAGATACTGGTGACACGGTTCCTGACAGGAAGAACTTTGACTCCCTCCTGTGGGCCATTGTCACCGTGTTCCAGGTAAAGCCCGGGCAGGGGCCATCCCCTGATGCAAACAGATGTGGCCCCTGAGAGCCACAGCCCTGTTCAAAGGCAGCCCCCAGAGCTGCCTTGGCCTGTGTAAGGCTAGGGCAGGTGAGGAGCTGTGAACAGCAGTAGGGACGGTGATTCTGTCCCCCAGGGAGGTGGGCATGTGTTCTTACTGGTGCAGAGATCCTTCTGGTGCTGAGGAGTTGACAGCATGTCCACAACGGGTTAACCCCCAGGGCCTTTCTTGCCCCAGCATGTCGGCCCCACGCTTGGGTCTGGGTCCCACTCTGCCTCACTGCCCCTCTTTTCCAGATCCTCACCCAAGAGGACTGGAACGTCGTCCTCTACAATGGCATGGCCTCCACCTCCTCCTGGGCCGCCCTCTACTTCGTGGCCCTCATGACCTTTGGCAACTATGTGCTCTTCAACTTGCTGGTGGCCATCCTGGTGGAGGGCTTCCAGGCAGAGGTGAGGGGGACTTCCAGGGGATGGGAGCCCGGCACGTTGGGCAGGACTACTGCACAGACTGACATGTTGTGGCCTCGTCCTTCATCCACCTCGTTCACCAGGCCTTATGTCATGCTTCCTTCTATGCCAGCCCAGCCTTCCTGTGGGGAGCTCCGTAGGGGGGTGCTTGGCACAGATGGCTCCCATCTAAGGAGACCCTCAAGTGTGACTTCTGCTTTGTGGGGCACAGGGTGATGCCAACAGGTCTGATACAGATGAAGATAAGACATCCACCCACTTGGAGGAGGTTTTCGATAAGTTCAGAGACCTCCAGGCCACGGGTATGTGTGGTAACGATGGGGCCAGGGATGGAGGGGACGCTGCCCGCCCTGACCTGGCACAGCTGGGATTCCCATGGGCAAGTCCTAGGTGGGCGGATTTCCTTTCCTGAGAGCCTTGAGGTATGAGCGGCCTCCTCCCCCTCCAGAGATGAAGATGTACTCCCTGGCCGTGACCCCCAATGGGCACCTGGAAGGCCGAGGCAGCCTGCCCCCTCCCGTCATCATGCGCACCGCAGCCACGCCCATGCCCACCCCCAAGAGCTCCCCGAACCTGGACACGGCCCATAGCCTCCTGGACTTACAGCACAGTAGCAGCAGCTCCGTGGACCCCCAGCTGGGGGACCAGAAGTCTCTGGTAGGGACCGTCCCCTGCCCTGGCCTCAGGGCACCTTCAGGCTCTTCCCCAAAGACAAGTGAGGGTCTTGCACACTCCCTGTCATTGCCCCATGAGTCCATGGCCCAGAGTGCTCTGATTTTTGCAAACAGAGCAGGAATTGCCATGCTTATGGGAGGAGCACAGAGACTAGACCTGGAAACCCATCTCTAATCCTTTTCCTCTGGTAGAATGTCAGGCAGGAAGTTCATCTTTCAAATTGCGATAAAAAGAAAAATAAAAGTTGGCAGAGCACAGAGCATAAATCAGAAGGAAAAACAGAAAAGAGCTGGCAAAAAATGTTTTAATAGCACTTGAGACAGATATTGGAGGCTGGGCCCCCCTCCCCCAGGGACACAGACAATAACAGCTTCTCAGAAGGGCCAAGGAGGGATGGACAGAGCAGGACAAGCTGACAGCAGAGGGGGAATGGAACATGAACGTGGGTCAAATCAAGGCAAAGTTCATTGAGACAGGATGATCTGGTGTCAGTAACAGAAGAGCCAAGAGCCGCCAAAGTGAGCCTGGGGTGGGCCAGGTAACAGCAACAAGATGCGTTGTAGCCACGAGGGAGGTGGACGGGCTGATTAGCAGGATTAAAGCTCAGCTCGTGCTAGACCCAGAAGATAACATGAATATCAGCGCAGCAGGATAAGTCCCTGCCTCAAAGTCAGTTTAGCTCGTGAGACAGTGGTGAACTTCTCTTGACAAGTCCCCAGAGTCCACTAATTAGGAACTGATTTGAGGCCCCACCCCAGAGATCAGGGTCAGCAGCTGGGGCGGTATCTGAGGCTGGTAGGTAGCTGGTCCCAAGCCCAGTGTTATTTATCTGTGCTGCCGTCCAATCTTACAGCAGCCACAGTGGCCAGGCCCAGCCCTCACACTTGGCTGGCTGTGTCTCCAGCTGTGTCTCCAGCTCGTTGTTGACCCACTCTGTTGCGGGTGTCCCCCTAGAAGTGCAGCGTTGCCAGCCTTTCCCCAGCAGGATGGTCTACACATACAAATCCCACTTACACAATCTTACAGCAGCCACAGTGGCCAGGCCCAGCCCTGACACTTGGCTGGCTGTGTCTCCAGCTCATTGTTGACCCACTCTGTTGCGGGTGTCCCCCTGGAAGTGCAGCGTTGCCAGCCCCTCCCCAGCAGGGTGGTCTACACATACAAATCCCACTCACAATAGGCATTAATAGTAATGGTGGTGATCCATGAACCAGTCCCACCCATGGGTGTTAATAGCCATGCCACTGGGCGGGAAAGGCCCTTGAGGTTGGAGCCTAGGAAGTTTGGGGACTGGACCCGCCCACTCCATCCTCCCCTCCCACAGTCCAGCCTCCGCAGCTCGCCCTGTGCCCACTGGGGCCCCAACAGCACCTGGAGCAGTAGGCGCTCAAGCTGGAACAGCCTGGGCCGTGCACCCAGCCTCAAGCGCCGGAGCCAGTGTGGGGAGCGCGAGTCGCTGCTGTCCGGCGAGGGCAGGGGCAGCACAGACGAAGAGGCCGAGGACAGCAGACCTGGGGCTGGGGCCTCGCCGGGCACACATGCCACCCCACTGCGGCGTGCTGAGTCCCTGGGTCACCGTGGCACCCTGGATGTGCGGCCCCTGCCGCCGGACACCTTGCTGCCTACCAAGCTCCATGACTGCAATGGGCAGGTGCTGTCCCTTCCCAGCGAGTTCTTCCTGCGCATAGATAGTCACAAGGAGGACCCAGCCGAGTTCGACGACGACATGGAGGATGTGAGTGAGCGGCAGGGCCCAGGCTCCCTCTTGTCATGTGCCAGTTCCCAGAGAGGAGCCTGAGCATCATTCTTGGCGGGGGGAGAGCAGGACAAGCTGAGCAGGACTTGACTTAGCTGGAAGACCGCATTTGATCTCTGGGAGCTCTGGAGTGGGGGTTGGCCCCAAGGTCAGCTCCACCTCTAGCTGAGGGCCATTCTGAGCCCAGCATTTTCAGCCACTAGTGGGCCTTCAAGGGTGGAGCGGAGAGGAGGGTAGGGCCACCTTCTCCATTGCCCAAGAGAGTTCCACAGCAGGGGCCAGCTGGAGGGCCTTTCTGGGCGGAGATGATCTGGTTGTCATCTCTGGCTACATGAATTCCCACCTGGCTTGGGAGAATGGGCTGAGACAGGTGGGATCCCAGGGGCAAAAGGGCAGGGCTGGGCCTGGAGACAGGTGAGGCTGGGAAGGGCCTGAGGACCTGCCCCTCTTCCCAGAGCTGCTGCGCTCGCCTGCGCAAGGTGCTGCAGCCCTACAAGCCTGAGTGGTGTCGGAGCCGGGAGCCCTGGGCACTGTACCTCTTCTCCCCGCAGAACAGGTGAGGGGGCGCTGGCTGGGGAGGGCTGGCACTCCCATTTGGTCCTCATTTCCCAACCAGACAGTGAGTGCGCTGGACATCAGGGTCTTGCACTTGCCCTCTGGGAACTGGGGCAAAGCATGGGCTTGGGCAGGGCTATTCTCGGGCCCCTCACCTGGTGCCCACGACGTGCCCCCAGGTTCCGCGCCTCCTGCCAGAAAATCATCGCTCACAAGATGTTCGATCACGTTGTCTTGGTCTTCATCTTCCTCAACTGTATCACCATCGCCCTGGAGAGGCCAGACATTGATCCGGGAAGCACCGTGAGGCCCCCTCCTCAGCTCAGGGAAGGGGTGGGGTCCCGTAGGTGCGGCCGGCCCCTCCCACCACCCTGTCCCTGCAGGAGCGTGTTTTCCTCAGCGTCTCCAACTACATCTTCACAGCGATCTTCGTGGTCGAGATGATGGTGAAGGTACAAGCATGTCTAGGAGAGCCCCCCGGGTCTGCCCTCAGGCGTCATGCCCAGCAGCCCCCACCTGCTATGCCCCTGTCCCCTTCCCCCATCCCAAACCCCCTTCTGCAGCACTGCCTACCTGGGCCCCTCCTCCTCTGCGCTTGGACAGGTGGTGGCCCTAGGCCTGGTCTCTGGGGAGCACGCCTACCTGCAGAGCAGCTGGAACGTGCTGGACGGGCTGCTGGTCCTGGTGTCCTTGGTCGACATTATTGTGGCCATGGCCTCAGCTGGTGGTGCCAAGATCCTGGGCATCCTTCGTGTGCTGCGCCTGCTGAGGACACTCCGGCCTCTGAGGTGGGCGGGGCTGGGCCAGGGGAAGGGACAGATGAGGTGAGGGTGGGGATAGAGGGGTGGGGTTGGGACCAGGGTAGACCAAGGTGGGGAGTGGAGTGGTTAAGGGAAGGGATGGGGGTAGAGCCAGGGGCCTGTTGAGGAGATGGGGTGGGGCCTTTGGGCCAGGTGTAACCTCTGCAGTGGCTTGCTCCGTGGGTGGGCCCAACAGCAGGTGGCCTCTGCCTGTGCAGGGTCATCAGCCGTGCTCCAGGCCTCAAGCTAGTTGTGGAAACCCTGATATCATCTCTCAGGCCCATTGGCAACATCGTCCTCATCTGCTGTGCTTTCTTTATCATCTTCGGGATTCTCGGGGTGCAGGTGGGCAGCCCCGCTCGTCCTTGGGTGCCCCGTGCAAGGGATGGTGGTCTGTGGTCAGCGGCTGTGTGGCAGCCCCAGGAAGGCCCAGCCTCGTCCCTTGCCCTGCTGCCCCAGGAGCCTCTGTATGGAGAGCTGGTGTGCCGGGGGCGCAGGGTCGGCCCTCTGTGTGACTGCCCCCGCCCCCCCGTCAGCTCTTCAAGGGCAAGTTCTACTACTGCGAGGGTCCCGACACCAGGAACATTTCCACCAGGGCCGAGTGCAGGGCTGCCCACTACCGCTGGGTGCGGCGCAAGTACAACTTCGACAACCTGGGCCAGGTGGGCGGGGTGAGGGCAGACAGGGAGGGGCAGGGTGGGCGTGGCCGGACCTGGAGCCCTCTGAGGCCTGTGCTCCGGTTGATCTTAGATGTCCTCGCTCTGGTCTCCTGAAAGATGGGGATGGCAGGACCACAGGGCTCGGGAGCCATGGGTGGGTGTGCTGTGCAGGAAGCCTGTGGGGGGGTCTGGGGCAGGAGGCAGGGTGGTAACTGCCCTTGCTGTGGCCTGGCAGGCGCTGATGTCCTTATTCGTGCTGTCCTCCAAAGATGGCTGGGTGAACATCATGTACGACGGGTTGGACGCTGTGGGCATAGACCAGCAGGTGCGAGCAGGTGGTAGGCAGCCCTGGTTCTCTAAGCCAAGGGTCCCCAAACCCCAGGCCATGGACCAGTACATGTCCGTGGCCTGTTAGGAGCCGGGCTGCACAGCGGGAGGTGAGAGTGGCGGGCAGGCGAGCGAAGCTTCATCTGTATTTGCAGCCGCTCCCCAGCGCTAGCATCACCGCCTCAGCTCCACCTCAGACCATCAGGCATTAGAGGTTCATATAGCACCGTTCCCTGGTGCCAAAAAGGTTGGGGACCGCTGCTCTAGTCAAACCTTTTGGATATCCTCTGGGTTATCTCAGGGAATTCCTCCAAGAGGATGGTTTTGGTTTCTGAGAATTTCCAGAGTTCCGCATCACCGGGCCCCTTCTCCGGCTCTGCAGGCTGTAGCACAAGGGGCCCTGGGGTATGTGGCTGCTCCTGGGCAGGGCCCTCGCGCAGCGGGAACCCATGCACCCTCGTGTGCCACAGCCGGTGCCCAACCACAACCCTTGGATGCTGCTCTACTTCATCTCCTTCCTGCTCATCGTCAGCTTCTTTGTGCTCAACATGTTTGTGGGCGTGGTGGTGGAGAACTTCCACAAGTGCCGGCAGCACCAGGAGGCCGAGGAGGCACGGCGGCGAGAGGAGAAACGGCAGCGCCGCCTGGAGAGGAAGCGCAGGAGTAAGGCGCTGCCGGGGGCGGTGGCGGGTCGGTACCTGCGCGCCTGTGGGAGGGTGGACGGATGGCAGGGGCAGCAGGGAACCAGCCGAGACGGGTTCTGAGGCTGGGTCTCCCTCACACTCGAGTGCAGTGGGTGTCCGAAGCTGCCTGCCTAGCCCCATTTCCCTCGGCCTCCCAGGCCTGACCTTGCCGAATGGCTCTGCACGCTGCCCGCCTTGCCGAGGCCTGCATGGCGGCCGGGCCCCCCAGGGGCCGGGCAGGGGAAGGCAGCTGCAGCAGGAGGCAGGGGTCCCCTTCCAAATGCTGTCGGAGGTAAATGAGACCCCTAGTTGTCATCTCCCATCTATACCGAGGAGGGTTTACCCTCATGAGTTCTCATGCCACAGGGGGAACAAGTAAAACTGTCCGAGACAGAGAGAGAGTCTCAGGGAGGCTTCACCCAGCTTAGGAGCAAGGAGGGCTTCCTGCAGGAGAGGGCCGCTGAGTGTCCCACCCACCTCAGTCAGCTCAGACCATCTCCTTGTCTTTCCAGGCACTTTGCCCAACCCAGGTACCTGCCCCCCCTGTCCCGCATGCCTAAGCCCCTCGCTTTTGCCGGCCCTTGCACAGGGCTATGGGCTAGTTTGGCCTCCGTCTTTCTGCTGCTGCCATGTGGAAAGGCAGACACTGCAGGCGGGTACCAGGTTCGCTGGGGTCCGCTGCAGGATGGCCATGGGACAACCGGGATTGGTCGCCAGGTGTCAGTGGGGGGAAGAAGTATTGCCCACTCCCCTGCCTGGTGTCCATGCCACTGTCTGTGAGCTTGTGTGCGTCCCTTTGCCCAGCTTGCATGCTTCTTTGCCATGCTGTGGGACACCTGCTGGCTTGTGGCTGCTCCATGTCCTCAGTGCTGGCCTGGCCTGACTGATTGCTAGCCCCTTGGGCTGCTTGAGCTGAGCTGAGCTTTTAGTGACTGCATGCCCAACCCAGGAGCATGAGGGTCCCAGGGCGGGGTCAGTCTCGTTGACCCTGTTTTCCCAGGCCCTGGGATAGCCACAGCTGTCATCTCCCTGGCCCCCACCCATGCATGGTTCTGTGGCCAAGGCAAGTCCTCATGGGCAGTGGTGGCAGCCATGTCCACATCCAGTGGGAGCTCAGTGGGAGGGTTACTACAGGGAGAGCATTTAGTGCAGACAGACCTGTTGGGGGTTGCATGACGCCCCAGGTGATGGCCATGAGATGGACTGGAAGCCAGGCAGACCCCAGACAAGAAACAGTGGCCACTGGACCCTTAGAGGACCAGGGAGTGAGAGACTCTAGGCCTGGTGGCCAGAGGGTAGGGTAGTTCATGCCCAGACAGGGAGACAGGACCTGCTCCCTGAGTAAGCGCCCATTTGCCTGTCTGTCATCATCAAGGTGTCTCTGAACTCCAATGCCAGACCACGAAAGTATACCACAAAGACAGGGCAGAGTCTGAGCAGCACCTCAGGACAGAGCCGAGAGGAATCTCAGTTTCTAGGCCCATTCCTGGGGGAGGGTGGGGGGAGAGGGGGGCCTGCCCTCGAGGCCCTCTCACACCCTGTCCCTAGCCTGGGTTTTCCATCAGGCAGCAGGAGCCGGACTCACAGGGAGCCACTTCTCACCTAGAATAGGACTCGCTTCCTGAGAGAAACCCCCTCCATCAGCCTCCTGCAAACCTCCCACATCTGAGCTGGGGGCCTCCCCCAGACACCCACGCTCCAGCCTATGCAAGCAGCCTCCACCCCACCAGCTCACCTTGGTCACAGGCGCCCTCTCCCTGCAGAGGCCCAGCGCCGTCCCTACTACGCCGACTACTCGCCCACCCGCCGCTCCATCCACTCGCTGTGCACCAGCCACTACCTCGACCTTTTCATCACCTTCATCATCGGGGTCAACGTCATCACCATGTCCATGGAGCACTACAACCAGCCCAAGGTGGGGCTCGGGGCCACAAGACCCCACCCTCCCTGCCTCCAGGACCAGTTTGGGAGACGAGCCCCTAGAGGGCCACGGGTGGGGTCAGGCACCTAGCGGGTGGCCTGGATCAGGATGTGCTAACCCGAGGACTGGGGGGTCTTAGGTCTACAGCCCTGGGTGAGCCCTCACTGGGGTTTATGGGGTATGGTTTGAACAGAGGGTCCTCCTTTTAACATCACCTGAAACTCTCAGGTCACCCAAGTGCCCTGGAGGGCCCTCCCCACCCCACAGTGGTCCCATCTCAAAGTGCTAGCTGTGGAAAGGTCTCTGAGTCCAACTTCCCAGGCTGTAGATTTCACAGTCCAAGAAGAAGCCAGACAGGGAGCTGGGAGGAGATGTGTGGGCGTAAATGATCAGCTGTTTTTCCTCTCCAGTTACATCTGCATCACCATCATTTCATTAAAGAAAGGACACCTTTCCCACCCTCTGCCGTCCTCCACCATGGGAAGGGAGGGGTCTCAGGGTAACAGAGCCTTTGAGTCTGAACCCACTCAGCTTTGGGGGAAGCCGAGCTCCAGCCAGCATGGGCCAGCCCCTGCCCTGGGCTGCAGATGGGAGCCTGGTAAAGGCAGGACCAAGACTCTGGGCTCTGAGGGGCAGGTTCCCCCCAACCTGAGGGTTGTCCTCAAAATGCTGCAAGGGTCAATCCATGTGAGGCCTCCCAGACCTGGCTCAGGCCCACATATAGTAAATGCTCAATAGCCCAGAAGCACCCATGTTGGTAGAGTAGAGAGATGGGGCCAGGACCCAGGTACTCGGTGCCTGATGCTGCAGTGGAGGGTGGGGGTGGAGGAAGAGGAGGGAGGGGCAGCCTAGGCAGGGTGGCCTCCACAGCCTGACATTCTTGCCCCCAGTCGCTGGATGAGGCCCTCAAGTACTGCAACTACGTGTTCACCATTGTCTTCATCTTTGAGGCTGTGCTGAAGCTTGTGGCATTTGGTTTCCGGAGGTTCTTCAAAGACAGGTATGTGGGGTAGGGCCACCCAGCACCTTGGGGGACGTGTGCAGCTCTTGGGGGTAAGGACAGGAGAGAGCCACCACCCTCCAGTGGTCTCAGCCTGAGGTCTGCCAAGGTGATGGTGCTAAGCAGAGATGTGGGATGTAGCCTGTGACACCAAGACATGTCTGTGGGTGGCACTAGGGTATTTCCAGAGTGATAACAGGATAAACCCCTGAGTGATACCAGGACATTCTCAGAGTGACACCAGGATATATTCTATGGGTAACACTAGGACATACTCTCTGGATGACACCCAGACACTAGAGTGACAATGAAGAGAACTCCTACTCTAAAGGGTTATGGGTGGGGGAAGGAGGCAGCACAGCTCTGAGCCTGCCCGGCTGCCCAGGTGGAACCAGCTGGACCTGGCCATTGTGCTGTTGTCCATCATGGGCATCACGCTGGAGGAGATCGAGACAAGTGCGGCACTGCCCATCAACCCCACCATCATCCGCATCATGCGTGTGCTCCGCATCGCCCGAGGTAGGTGCCCACCCGCCCGTTAGGGCCCGGGGCCACCCCACGTCCTTCCCCATGCCCTGAGGCCTCTGCAGGTGGCTGGCGCTGGTGATAAGAGTGTAAGGGATGAGGTTGGTCCCAGGTCTTGGCCAGCGGGGGGAGGGTCAGACCGGACCTGGCCCCCACCCACTCCTAACACTCACTTCCTGGCCCTAGTGCTGAAGCTGCTCAAGATGGCCACAGGCATGCGGGCCCTGCTGGACACAGTGGTGCAAGCCCTGCCCCAGGTAAGTGAAGAGCTGCCCCAGGAGTGGGCACTGCAGATGCCCCCAAGAGGACAAGGCTGCAGAGAGTGCCTCAGTCGCCGTCATTCATTCATTCGTGTATTCGTGTGGTCATCTGGACTTGCAGATGAATAACATGTAGGGTGATAACAGCTCTGCTGGGAAGGAGATGGCTGTCTGCCTTCTGGGCCTCAGTCCCTCTGGGGAGGACTGAGAACCAGCGCCCATCTTCCCTGATCCAGTACTGGATGCAATGGGATATGGGCAGAGGGCATGGCCGAGGTGGGCTTCTCTGAATTCTGAGGACCACACCCAAGGCTCAGGTGTTGGCTGAAAGCCTCATACCTCTTTTGGAGCCAACTCAGGTCCTGTGCCCTCACTTCCTTTGCCGACATCCCGCACCCTGATCTTTTGTGGTCTCTTGAGCTAGAAGAAACTCATTGCCCCATCTGTGCAGTATCCAGTCTTTCTGCCAACCAGCCCGTTTAGCCATGTATCCATTTGTCCATGGTTCTAACCCTCTCAACTAGCCATCTGTCCGCCCAGTCACCTATGTATCCATCCATCCATTATTCAGCCGTCCTGGCCGGCTGGCTGCCTCCGCAGCCATCTACTCACCCCACACAGCTTCCTGTCTACCTAGCACCTCATCTCTCTAACCACCTACTCACCCACGAACCTGTCCATCCACATGTCCACCAGCTCAGTATGTACCCCCCAGCCCCGTAGCAGCCTTCCTCAGCCTTATCTGAGTTACAGTCCCCAAGGTTCTTTGTTCCTGCCTAGTGTCTGTGGGAGTGACGGGGGAAGGAAGGGAGGGAAGCCTGGGCCCAGCCATACCCCGGCATCAGGGGTGCTGGCAGCGTGTGAAGACAGGGTGCCCTGCCCAGAGGGGACGTATGACAAATGCTAGGAAGGTGGGCCGTCAAGATTGATGGTAGAGCCTCAAATGGGGGTCACTTAGTCTGAAGAGCTCAGCCTTGGCCTCCCCTTAGGACTCCAAGGCTAGAGGCTGGCCCTACATGGAGTCTTCCAGAACCCTGGGGAGCAGAGATGCTGGAGGTGGGGATAGTCCTGGGTGCTGAGTGGGCATGAGGGGGTGAAGGGGGGCCTTAAATTCCAGACAGCACAAAGAGCTCCTAAGGACCACAGTTGCTCCAGGGCCAGGGAAGCGGGTGAAGGATGAGACTCCAAGGCTGACTCTGGGAATTTGACTCCTCGCCTGGTGGGAACATGGGGCGAGGGTGGCTGGTGGGGTACCAGGCGCTACGTGCGTAGCAGGCGGGATTGAGGCCTGACCTGGTTCTGCTTCTCTCCTGTGTAGGTAGGGAACCTCGGCCTACTTTTCATGCTCCTGTTTTTTATCTATGCTGCCCTGGGAGTGGAGCTGTTCGGTAGGCTCGGTGAGTGAGGTCCAGGAACGTGCAGCCTCACCCATGCACACACGGCCCTTGGACAGCTCGGGGTGCTGGCCAGGCCAAGGCAAGGCCCCCTGCTCCCTCAGCCCTTCACTGCACAAGGCAAGCGTGACGGCAGGCACATTCAGGAGCATCTAGGCACTCACACAAGTGTGGTGCCAGACCCATGACACACACGCATACATGTGAGTGAGGTCCAGGAACGTGCAGCCTCACCCATGCACACACGGCCCTTGGACAGCTCGGGGTGCTGGCCAGGCCAAGGCAAGGCCCCCTGCTCCCTCAGTCCTTCACTGCACAAGGCAAGCGTGACGGCAGGCACATTCAGGAGCATCTAGGCACTCACACAAGTGTGGTGCCAGACCCATGACATACACGTACATACACAGACATGTCTGTAGACACACACGCATGTTCATATGCCAGCCAGGGGTGCAGAGGCACACGTGAGCCTAAGCAAGTGTGCGCATGCAAACAACCACATGCCACCTCAAACCACTTGTGGTTTCCAAGAGATAAATGCAGCAGCATGTCCTTAATAATTATCACCAAACGTTTCCTTAACACCCCACTCCCACTCCCAGGCCTGAGGCTCTCTGGTCACTCTGGGCAGGGGGCCGTCGGGGACCCTCTCTGGCAGCCCAGTTCCTCTAGGGTCCCCCTCCCCTTCCTACTAGGGTCTCCTGAACATTTGGTGTTATCGAACACTCAGTGGCTTCCACGAGCCACCAATGACCCTGTCCATGAGGTGGCTGAGGTGGTTGTCCATTAAGTGTCTGCCCAGAGGGGGCTTCTGGGACTTGGCAACTGATACCCCAAAACCCAGGTCTCACTCCTGCCCCCTGGTCCTGCCCCAGGGTGACCCCATTACTCCACCAAGGCCTAAGGGTATACTGACTAAGAAGGGGCCCTGGGGAGCAGGCAGTGCCATCTCCGGGGGCTGAGCCAGAGCTAGGCTGGCACCAAGGGCTTGGCCTGTCCATCCAGAAAGCCCTAGATGTAGAACAAGCAGGGTGTCCCCTGCGGGTGCCCACCTACTCCACCTCACCCCGCACCTGAGCTAGGCCACTGCCTTGTACCCCAGAAGAGCATGACTTCCTCCCTAGGGGAGAGGCAGGGCCCACAGCAGGTCCCAGGGCCTCCTGGGCCATTGTGCGCCCTGGCCCAGCTGCACGGCTGACTGGCGGGTCTCTGCCCTGCAGAGTGCAGCGAGGACAACCCGTGTGAGGGCCTGAGCAGGCACGCCACCTTTTCCAACTTTGGCATGGCCTTCCTCACACTGTTCCGTGTGTCCACAGGGGACAACTGGAATGGGATCATGAAGGTACTGGCTTGAGTGAGGCAGGTGGGGAGGTGGATTCAGCCTGCGCCGCCCTGCAGCTACCCCTCTGCCCACAGGACACACTTCGGGAGTGCGCCCGTGAGGACAAGCACTGCCTCAGCTATCTGCCGGCCATCTCGCCCATTTACTTTGTAACATTTGTGCTGGTGGCCCAGTTTGTGCTGGTCAACGTGGTGGTAGCCGTGCTCATGAAGCACTTGGAGGAGAGCAACAAGGAGGCCCGCGAGGATGCCGAGCTGGACGCCGAGCTGGAGCTGGAGATAGCACAGGCACCCCCCGCTCATACCAGGCCCGTAGCCCCACAGAGCCCAGGTGCCGGGCCCGATGCCCCCAGCCTCCTGGTGGCACGCAAGGTGTCTGTGTCCAGGATGCTCTCCCTGCCCAATGACAGCTACATGTTCCGGCCTGTGGCACCTGCCTCAGCCCCTCACTCCCAGCCCCTGCAGGAGTTGGAGATGGAGACCTATGTGGACACAGCCCCCTCCAGTAAGACCCATGAAGGCAGCGGGAGGACACGGGCAGGAGGCCTTGGGTGGGAGGACTCTGGACAGGCGATAGCTGCCTAGTTTAGATAATTTTTTTGTTCCAGGCTTGGTCACCTCTGAGCACTCACCACCTGTGGAGTCCTCCGCCTCCCTCCAGGTCCCGTCAGCCACATCCTCCCCTGCCAGGGGCAGCAACTCTCTCCTCACCCTGCCCCCTCGGGGCGCAGCCCGCTCCCCCAGCTTTAGCCGCCTGCTCTGCAGACAGGTAGGAGAAGCCTTCCCTGATTCCTATAGCCAAGGCTTGGGGGCTCTTTGGGGGTTTCCTCTCTCCGTTTAAAGGATGAGTGACAGGGACACGATTGGGGGTTCTGTGTTCCTGGAGCCCGTGTATTCTAAACCACCAGGACCACATTCCCTCCTTGAGTCTCATGTCCCCACAGCACTCCCTGCAGTGGTTCCATTGGGCCTTACTTACACCCACAGACTGCCCTCCGTGACCCCCACGGTGCCAAGCTGGGCAGATGGTGTGCAAGGTGGCCTTAGCCCAGCTCTGTGGGGTCTCCAGGGCCCATGGCAAGCTCTCCCTACATTGAGGCCCCAGCCCTCTGCTCCTCACAGCCCCTTCCTAGCGTGACTGGTACAGGTGGTTGGCACCTGCACACAGGGTGGTCTCCAGAGCAGCATGGGTGGAGCTGGAGGACAATAATGTCCCCACCAGGGGCCCCTAGCCCCATCTCACTTTGGGTCCCTAACCTCAGGGAGTTGAGAGCCTACTCTAGCCCGGGTAGGCAAAGGTCCCTGTTCCCCTTCTGGGTGGGCTTACTCGGTCTTACCTGACACCATGCCTTTGCAGGAGGCTGTGCACACCGACTCTCTGGAAACACAGGTTGATGGACCCAGGGACTGCAACCTGGGCTGGGGGGAGCCTGGCAGGAAGACCCCCACGAGGCAGGCATCCCTGAGGGCCTCCCTGCAGTCCCCACCCTGCTCCCCAAGGCCCGCCAGCATCCGCACCCGCAAGCACACTTTGGGACAACGCTATCTCTCCAGCCAGCCACCGGCCCCAGGCGAGGAGGAGGTGGAGGCCCCAGACCCAGCTGATGAGGAGGTCAGCCACATCACCAGCTCAGCCCGAAGCCCCTCACCCCCAGCCCACGAGGTGGTGGGTGGTGAGCCAGGCTTGCACAGGCTCTACGATGTGGACGCCCAGGGCTTCCTGGACCAGTCTGGCCGGGTGGACGAGCATCGGAGGTCCTTGGTGGAGCAGGGTGGAGGGGACGGCCGCCTAGAGACTGGAGAGGTGAAGGTCCGGGCCCTGGAGGCCGAGCCAGCCCTAGGGGCACGCAGGAAGAAGAAAATGAGCCCTCCATGCATCTCTGTAGACCCCCCTGTGGAGGATGAGGGTTCAGCCCGGCCCCCCACGGTGGAAGGCAGTAGTACCACCCTGCGGCGGAGAACCCCGTCCTGTGAGCCCATGGAGGGCATGGGGGTGGACCCTACCACCAAGGGGGAGCGGTGGGGCCAGGCCCCCAGCCGCTCAGAGCACTTGACCATCCCCAGCTTTGCCTTCGAACCATTGGATGTGGGGGGCCCCAGTGGGGACCTGTACTTGGACAGTGGCCACAGGGTGGCCCTGGAACCCAGAGCTTCCTCCTCAGGGGCCACAGCACCTTCCGAACCCCACAAAACAGAGTCTCTGGTGGCCTCTGGTGACCCCCCAGAGAAGGGGCGGGGACTCTACCTCAAAGTCCCCCAGAGTTTTGTAAAGAAAGCAGTATCTCTTCCAGCCAGCCCCACCCCAGATGACAGTGTGGACGAGCCTGTGTAAGCTGAGGGCACAGTGCTACACAGGCTTGGCACTGGGGTTGGGGTATACCCGGTGGGGTGGTGGCCCAGGTGGGGCCATGCATGGACCCTGGCAGAGGAGCCAGGAGGATATCCGCCCAGGGAGATGGAGGCAGATGCTATTCTGGGTGAAGAAGAACAAGCTAGTTCTTCGGCCTGCGAGCCTCCACCCATCCATTCAGGTTTGGGTGTTTCCATGTTTTGCCACTGTGGTCTGAGACTCTGCCGGTGGCCTGCCCAGCAGTCCCGTTAATGAGAGAGCTGCATCCACGGGACAAGGACCAGAAGGTGACCAAAAGCAAAAAGGCAGAGGCTGCCCAGCAGAGCCCTGTTCTCACGTCCACTTATTTTTATAGAGAACACTCACTTGGGGCCACTTGTGCCCTCCCGGGTGGCAGCTGTCTCCAAAGCCCCCACAGCCACGCTTCACTGTCACTCAGTCTGAGCTCTCATCCATTTATCCCAACCCCCACCCCCACATTGCTGTCTCTCCATCTTCCCTTTCTCACCCCCTCCACACCATTCTGTCCAGAACACACCCATTAACTCTGGTCTCTGGGAAATGCCACATCACCAGGAAGTGGGAGCCTTGCAATAAGACGCCCCCACACCAGTGCCGGGCACCTCTGATGGCAGTCCT